GTGTGTGTGTGTGTGTGTGTGGGTGTGTGTGTCCTCAGCTGGCTCTGTATGTGCTGAACTTCCTGGCTCCCAGAGACCTGCTGCAGGCGGCTCAGACCTGCAGGTACTGGCGAATCCTGGCTGAGGACAACCTGCTGTGGAGGGAAAAGTGCCGCGAGGAAGGTGAGCCGGCCGCCTGGCGCGTGGGCTGGAGCACCTTCGTATGCGAAACCAGTCATCAAAACCACTGACATGTGTCATTTTTCATCTGATGTTTATTATCTGTCGTGCATAGACGTGTCCGAGTGCGCGTCACCTCGCCGCAGGAGCTGCGTCACGTGGAAGTCGACGTACATACGACAACACCGCATCGACAACAACTGGAGGAAAGGGGACGAGCGCCAGGCCAAGGTATGCGCACGAGCGCAGGCGCACACGTGAATAGGGACTGAGTGCATGTACCCACAGGTGCTGAAAGGTCACGACGACCACGTGATCACATGTCTCCAGTTCAGCGGTGACCTCATTGTCAGCGGCTCTGACGACAACACGCTCAAAGTGTGGTCGGCCATCACTGGCAAGGTGGGAGTATGTGCGCACGCGAGCGTCTGGGTGCCACATTGCCATTTATCGCGGGGTGTGCGCACTTTTGCAAATATGTTGCGTGTATTTCCTCAACTGTGCGTTTCTGGTGTTGTGGTCAGTGTTTGCGTACGCTGACGGGCCACACGGGCGGCGTGTGGTGCAGTCAGATGGCGGCCACCGCGGTGATCAGCGGCTCCACCGACCGGACGCTGCGTGTGTGGAACGCCGACAGTGGCCAATCCGTCCACGTACTGCACGGCCACACGTCTACCGTGCGCTGCATGCATCTCCACGGCAACCGGTAACAAAACGCCCAGGTCTTTGTACTTGACTTGCGCATTGGTTTTTGAGTTTTCGGACAACTTGTACTCCTTAGGTTGGAAAACGGATTCAGCGGCATGTTATGATAGGAGCGTCCGAGTTTTTTTCCAGGCGTGTGTGTGTGTGTGTGCTTGTTCGCCTTTCAGGGTGGTGTCGGGCTCCAGGGACACGACCGTGCGCGTGTGGGACGTGTCGAGCGGTCGCTGCGAGCACGTGCTGACGGGCCACGTGGCGGCCGTGCGCTGCGTCCAGTACGATGGACGCCGCGTGGTGTCGGGGGGCTACGACTACATGGTGAAGGTGTGGGACCCCCAAACGGAGGCGTGTCTCCACACTCTGCAGGGACATACCAACCGGGTGTATTCACTGCAGGTACACGTACACACACACACACACACACACACACACACACACACAAGAATCAAAGTGGGGAAATTCTTTGCTGTCCACAACATCATTTCCAGTAAATGTTTGTGTTGTCATTTGAAAGTGGGCATGCACTCACTTGGGTGGACCGACTCCATGAAAGACCCCATCGAAAGCTCCTCCCACACCACACCACATGAAAACAGTGAAACTCCTCTACAACGAAATTATGTTTGCAGCAAGAAATTTTTCACAACAGGGGACTTTTCACCATAGCAAATTTATCTCAGATTTAAACACACACAAACACATGTGGACTCTTTATTTTTATTCCAATAGTGCATAAGTATGAGCATAAACTTATTTGACACTTCATATAGCCAGTGTTAGAAAGAAAAAAGGGAAAGAAATTGCGACATTTACAATCAGCATTTACTTTCACGTACATCAATTTCTTCCATAATGTCTTTTATTTTGCTTCCTCCATCTTTCATTTTGATTACTTTTACCCTGTCTTCAAGCGTCAGAACTCTTCTTTTCTTAAGTCCTTGGCATGAAAAGGTCCGTTTTGTAGCCATTTTAGCAATGGAACGTTCGCGCTGCGTCTGAAACTAACAATAACAAATACTTCCTGGACTACTGCGCATGTGTAAACCACTGTGGTGTTTACTGTTGCCGTTTCCCAACAAAACAGTAGGAGTCGCTGGAGGCTGAGGTTGGATTAGACTTTTGCGGAAGGCTTGTTTTTGTTGTAGTGAATCTCGTTGCGAGGCAAGGGCAGAGAAAAAGATATCGTCTTACGCAACAGGGGGATTTTTCGTTGTAGGGGGAACAGAAAAGTGGAAATGGTTTTAATGCATGAAATTTTTTTCACACTAGGGGGTATTTTGTAGTTTTCGTTGTAGAGGAGTTTCACTGTATTCTTGGATTATCTGAGTGTGCCTTCATTGGAAGGGAGGGGAAACAATGTTGTCATGTCTCAAGATTTGTATTGATTACATATGAAAGTTTGACATTTGGGGAGATTTTTGCAAGAATCATGGAAGTCGATGCACAAGATTTGCTTTTGTGGGAGGCAAATGAAATATAACTTGAATGAAGATGACTTTGTCCTAATTGAGAACTTTGAAAGGCCCGATTCACATACTGTAGGTGTGCTTTATGCAGTTTGACGGCGTCTTCGTGGTTAGCGGCTCGCTTGACACGTCCATCCGAGTGTGGGACGCGGAAACAGGTGGGATGTTTGATGGAGGAATGGGCCGGCCTATGAAGAGCGGGCTATGATTTCCACCGGCCGTGTCTCCCCGCAGGCAGCTGCGTCCACACCCTGACGGGCCACCAGTCGCTAACCAGCGGGATGGAGCTGCGGGACCGCATCCTGGTGTCCGGCAACGCCGACTCCACCGTTCGCGTATGGGACATCCGGACGGGACGCTGTCTTCACACTCTGCAAGGTGAGGTCGTCGGCGCCGCGTAAATTGAGCCCATCATTGACGGTCCACCGTCGTCTCCGCCAGGTCCCAACAAGCACCGGTCGGCGGTGACGTGCCTGCAGTTCTGCCGAGGTCTGGTCCTGTCCAGCTCGGACGACGGTACGGTCAAACTGTGGGACCTCCAAACGGGCGCCTGGCTGCGTGACGTGGTAGCGCTGCCGAGCTGCGGATCCGGTAAGCAACCGTTTCCACACACCTTTGTGTTGCATGGGCCAGTGCTTCTCTAACCGTAGCTTGCAATCAATTTATAGTATGCATGATTATTAGCACTCCGAGTTAAAATATATCTATAGTTAAAAAAAAGCCTTAAAATGTTACTTTTTTTTTTTTTTTAAAGACGCATACTCCTATAACCAAAAATTGTACATGGTAAATTTCGTAGCGGACATTGTACTCTCATAAAGCTATTAGGTCCCAGTCCAAATACAGTAAAATGTACACTTTGAAGAGAGTACATTTTACTGGAAGTAGTCGATTCATTGTACTCCAAACGATTCAAATATTATATTGGATGAGAACATAAATCACTCACCCACATTTTACAATGATGTGCCCGGAGTACCGAGTGAAGAGATTTTGATCCATTCTGAAGATTCACTCCTGGTCCAGTGCCGCAAGTGTGACTGTAAAAATGAATGTAACAATTTTACTGTTTTTTTGTTTTTTTTTAATCATTGAAAATTAGCATGAATGTTAACAACCCACTCTTCTGTTGAGTGTCAACTTTTTCAAGACATTTATTTTCACTTTACAGGACTTTAAAGTTCAAAGAGTAACATTTACTCAGAATATGGTCAAGTGGTTAGCACGTTGACCTCACAGTGCAGAGGTCGTGGGTTTGATCCCGGCTCCGGCATTCCTGTGTGGAGTTTGCATGTTCTCCCCGGCCCTGTGTGGGTTTTCTCCGTGTACTCCGGTTTCCTCCTACATTTCAAAAACATGCATGACAGGCTGATTGAACACTCTAAATAGTCCCTCGGTGTGAGTGTGAGCGCGGATGGTTGTTCGTCTGTGTGTGCCCTGCGATTGGCAGGCAAACGGTTCAGGGTGTCCCCCGCCTACTGCCCGAAGACAAAAGTCATGAATCTAATAGCAGGTGTATGAACACGATAATCAATTCCATTCCCTCGGCGCGCCGGCCAGGTGGCGTGGTGTGGCGCATCAAGGCCTCCGACACCAGGCTGGTTTGCGCGGCCGGCAGCAGGATGGGCACCGAGGAGACCAAATTGCTGGTGCTGGACTTCGACCTGGACGAGCAGCAGACGGACCAGAAGGGACAGACCGAGTCGGACCAAGATTCCGTCGCGGAGGATTCCGTTCATTAAAAAGGGATTTTTCCGCCGGACCCGATCGCAAGGTGACCCGAGTTTTGAGGACGCAAAACATTTTCCAGCACCGGAAAGTGCTGACTTACTATTGCTGCTAATCAACTGGGAACTCGGCGTCGGACCGACAGCTGTGTTGTCATGGTCCGTATGGTTGACACTCCCCATTGCACGCTTTGCAGGGATCGTTTCCCTCTTTTGGCTCCCATCCATCAACGCACTTGTTAACTTTTCCGTGGCCAAAATATTGTGCTGTCATGAATTAGTGTGTTGTTTGGGGATTGAATTGCCTGTGAAGAGTGACAATGTGATTCCCCAATCAAAGTGTTTGAACTGAAATGCATAAGAATCATCTGATTATTCTTCATAACGAGAACTTTATAGCCACTGCCTGCCAGAAATGAAGCTAAATGCTTGCATCCACAAGACAGGCGCAGGTGTGTGTGTGTGTGCGTGTGTGTGTCAGGGCTGCAACTAACGAGTATTTTAATAATCGATTCATCTGTCAGTTGTTTTTTTTTTTTCTTTACATTTTATTAAATTCCCATCCCTTCATTCCAAAACAGGATCTTTCTGCTTTGGTCTGTGGCATCCGTCAGAAGATGGCGATGTTCGGTTTCCAAAGTCAAAGCAGATGTTTGAAAATGTCTTTATTTGAAAAAAACAAACAAAAAAAAAACGGTCTGCTTTCACAACGGACGTCAGAATAACTGGTGACAGTTTGAATTTGCAAGACAATGGACAAATTGAAGTCAATGTCGCGAAACGATTAATCGATTTGTTTGACAATTCATCAATTACTTGTCGCACCTGTCATGTGTGTGAGAGAGCTCATGTAAATAAAAGAAAAGCTTGTACAAATGCTTTTGGTACACAGTGCAAGATGTCAGTCAAGACGACTTTTTGAAAGATGTTGAATGTTGAGAAGAGGTTTATTTGGGTGCGAAAAAAAGGGGCACAGCTGTGGCAAAGGGCAAACAATTCAAAGTACAAAGAAGAAACAAGGTCAGCGCAAGTCATCGCGGCGACACGCGGCGGACGATTGCGCCATCCGCGGCGCATCACCTGATGGTCCGGTACATCATGAAGTCGACGGTGGTGCAAGGCGGGAACTTGCCCACGGAGCTCTCCTGCACCGGCGTGTACACTTTAATCTGCCGCATGTGCGTATCTCGGCCATTCTGGTGGTTGGCCAGCACGGCGATCTGGATCATGAAGGTCCGGACGGGCTCGTTGCTCAGCTGGTTCAGGAGCGACACGTGAATCCAACCGCTGGGCTCCACCATCTCCAACTGCTGCACGCACCAAGATGGAAAGAAGAGCAAACGGAAGACAGCCACATCAGGTACGTGTTCGCTCTCGCTCTCTGAATGACGTCAAGAAAGATCGAGTCCAAGTAGAGCAGGGGTGTCAAACTCATTTGACATTGTGGGCCACATACGGCCTCGGTAGAAGTCAAGTGGGCCGGACCATTAAAATTATACCATACTCTGCTATAAATAACCAAAATATCATGTACTTCCTTTGTTGGCAAAAGCATGTCGCTTCTCGGGACATACAAGTTCAGCCGCCTTCATCATGCATCGTTTAACAAAGTCACCGTTGGAATACGGCTTTGATGCTAATGCTATTTCGCTAGCTAGCAATTAGGTAGCTGGCTTTTACTGCTGTGTTGAGTCTGTCTCAGTGACCGACTGAGACTGCTGTTCTCTTCTTCTTCTGATCAAAACAATGTTGTCTTCTACTCTGATCAAAACAGTGTTCCCGTAGCGGATGATCCATGAATTGCAGCTTATTAAAAAATTCATTCCGTGTCATTTATGTATTTTTTTTACTTTTAAATTACCCTGCGGGCCTGATCGAACCTCCTTGGGGGCCGGTTCCGGCCCACGGGCCGTATGTTTGACACCACTGAAGTAGCACAATGCGGATAGACAATGTGCACTGTGTGGATTAGTTTGGTAAAACACAGTCAGCTTCAAGCAATACAATCTTATTATTGTGTTGCACAATTGTGCATTTGTTGAATGTCACACTATTATGCCACAGAAATTGACATGCGAGTTGATTTGAACTCAAAACATTTGTGTCTCACAATGAAATGAATAGAAATGCAATTAATCCATTCAAGCCCCCCCCCCCCAAAAAAAAATCAAATTTTTGTTGTGCATTTTAATGAGGAAAAATTACATTTCATATGCAGTGGATGCATTCGGAACCATTCACTCAATCCCAACTCCCGAATCACAGGCAAGTGAGGATGCTAGCCAAGCTAAAAGCTTATGATGGACAGACCCTCCCACCCCCTCCAGGCCACCCTGACAGCACTGGGCAGCTCCTTCAGCCAGAGACTGATACACCCGCGTTGCAAGAAGGAGACCTACTGCCACTCGTGCCTGCCGACTGCTGTCAGGCTATTAAATAGACAGACCTGAAACCCTCGACTTACCCCCACTCACCCATTTTTGAAATGCTTATATTTATATTTTATAATTATGTACTTTTTGTTCTTCTACTTCTCCCTTTCATAAATTTGCTGCTGTGAATTGGGAATTTCTCCATTGTGAGAAAAATAAGTTTTCTTATCTTATCTTACCCTGACTTCATGCAGGTCGTGGAAGTTGTTGCCCACTCTGACGGAGATCTTGCTGGGCGTGTAGCTCTCGTCTGACTTGTAGTCGGCGTATATGCACAACATCTTCACCATGGTCCTCCTCCTGTATGGACATAGCGGTGAGACAACAAAACGGTGTCGCACATACGGGAGCAAGGGCACTAGCACATACCTAAACTGGATGTTGACCAGATGCGGTTGGGATCCGTCAGACTGCCAATACGTCTCCAGGTTGTCGTCCCTCAGCTGGTCCACGCCGAACCCTGAGGGAGGGGCATAGCGGTCAGGTGGTGTCCGACCACGGCTGACATTGACCCGGATGAATGACAAACTTGCGTACTTTGGTTGGGTTTGCATCATTCTGGCCATTTTGCATGTTTCAGGTTATTGATACATTGTGCTCTCGGCGGGTCGTTATTTCTTATCGTTTTGTTATGTCAATGATTTCATGTTTGCTATTCCATTATCCTAATTTTTGGTTTTGTGGGGAAACCTCCACGGTCCTTGGGTTCTGAAACTTTTAGAGCTGCGTGCTGACCCGGTTTGCAGGAGGACAGCGACCACACAGCCTGTGAGCCGATCTCCCGAACGGTACCAGTCCGTTCCAGCTGCTTCGGATCGGCTCCGGGCGGCGTCTTGCTCGGCGTGGCCATTGTCTGATGAGGCAAAAAGGGAGAATGTGAGAGCACAAAGCGGACTAGATCAGGGTTAGAAAACTCCGGTCATAGAGAACACACATTTGCGTTGCTAGTTTTCACCTTTGTCAAGTCTGCAGTCAACGTTCCCGACTTCCGACGCAGTTTACGACGAGCCTCTGCTGCTTCTAATCATCATTTGATGTGGAAAAGTTGTGAAATTCCAATATTGCAATTCAAAATAACGCAGGAGACGCTTCTGCTCGTTGCTTTACTTATTTGAATGATTTTTGCGCTTGGCGTTAAACCAGCTTCACATGCATTACCGCCACCTTCCGAGCTGGAGGGGAAAGCAGTTGAACGGTATGAAGTTGCACAAATATGAACAGACTGTTCCTGCTGTTTTCCTCTGGTATTTACAATTATATAAATGGGAAGTCATGTTTAAAACGTATCTTATGTGATACTTGACTTTTTGCGGCCTCCTCAACCCAACCTTTGATAATGAAGAGAATGGAATGATGGATGGATTGATACATTTTATTTCTTCTTCAAGAATAAATGAAATGACTGGTAGATGTTTTGTTTTGCTCTAAGATTAGCTTTTCGGCATAAATGTTTTGCCTTGTGTTGTGTTGTTGAGTGGTTAAATGTACTGCCTAGAGTTATGGTCCCCAAACGCCCCACTCGGACGTACTGACGTCACTTCCAATCGGACGTCGTCCAATCCGGTAGGTGCCGCCGGTGCCATGTTGTGATCGTTGAGGAAATCGATTGTGGCCGAAGTTCACTCAGCAAAGTGGATCCAAAACTCTATTAAAAGCGCATTTTGACAGCGGCCATGGAGGTAAGAAGAAGTATGGCGCCGATTGACGTAAAAATAATAATGACGTTTCTCGTCATACGTGATGACTGGCGGGGACAAAAACAACAAAAATATTGGCTGTCAATCTCAGAAGGGTTGTCGTAAATTGTGATTTTATTTTAATTCGCGCGGGTTTTCGTACGTGTGTGTTGTAAGCCCGTGAGCACATCCTGAATTGAAAAAGATTAACTTTGTACAGTATTTCTATTTGCTGAGCGCGATGCAACACATGCCGGATGTGTTAAGTTTGTCAGCGTAAAAGCACACGCAAATGAAACTGGAGTTTGACAGTGAACGTTGCTGAGTAACGATTTCTATACACAGCGGCGTTGTGTAGTAATATCGACTGTTGTCCAGGTGGGGATGGATTAAAGTGCTTTTACTTTGAAATAAACATGTCGACATATCCGATGTGGCGTTTTGCGTACCTTGACTCCTCCTTCCCCATCCGTGTCTCGGGTTCCATTGAGCAGCCTGGGCTGTGCCAGACGTCGGCGATTTGTGTAGGACGCGACGGTCACGCTCGAAGTCGTTTGAACCGGCGGTGACATGCCCGGAGCCTGACCGGCGTGTGGCCGCTGACTGGGGAGAGAGAGGGCGTTCGTTTTCATGGGGGACACAATCATTCGAGTGACCGCCGAGTGAGCAGCGGTACCGCAGCCTTGCGTCAAATCCGGCTAAAAGCTAAACGGCCGCACGACGTGGGGAGAACCACGTTAGGAGGGGTTATTTTGGGCGTCCACATGTTGGATTGCCGCTGCTGCTTCTGTTGGCTTTCTCTCGATTTTGTCAGAAGCAGAGAGCGACAACATTATTGTGATTATTAAGCAACGACTCGCCGTTACGGTTTTTTTTCGGGGGTTGGGGAGGGCGTGATGGACCTGAATTTTTACTCCCATCTTACCGGCGGAAGCGGGCAGCACGACGGTGATCCAGAGTTCCTGGACCCGCAGTCCTTCAACGGATTTGACTCAGACAACAAGGTGACCCTCTTGTGTTGAGTCGGGGGGGCTAATGTCATTTGTCATCCACGCCAAGCTGATTTCATTCATTACAACCGCTTGTTTCCATCTTGTAACACACTCCTCAATGTTTCAGTTCCCAGGTGGCAATGACAACTACCTGGCAATATCCGGGTCGGGCCACCCCTTCTTGGCTCCGTCAGAGGTAAGTAAACCTTCCAGTAAGTTACGTTTCATCTAACTGTTACTACTGGTGCTCCTCTTCCCACCTTGCAGACCTTCCACACTCCCAGTTTGGGGGATGAGGAGTTCGAGATCCCTCCCATCTCATTGGACCCGGATTCATCCCTCGCTGTCTCTGACGTGGTGTCTCATTTTGGGGAGCTGTCGGACACCAGTCCCTCCGACAACGTGGTGGTCCCCGGGAATGCCGTGGTGGAAGGCGACGACCCATCTTTCGCCTCCACTTTTGTCCACCCCCCTTCCCAAGGTCTGGAGCACCTGAGTCTTGGAGTCATCAACCAGTCTGGAGGCGCCCTGCTTGGCTCGTCCCTGGGAATGGTGAGGACGTTCTCGTCTGAGCTGCAGTCCGTCAGACGCACGCAAACACGATCCTTTCCTTCCTGTACGTACAGGATTTGGGCCATCCCATCGGCTCGCAGTTTAGCAGCTCATCTCCAGTCACCATCGACGTTCCACTCGGAGACATGAGCCAAGGCCTGCTGGGCTCCAACCAACTGACCACCATCGACCAGTCGGAGCTCAGCGCTCAACTGGGTCTCGGCTTGGGAGCTGGGAATATTTTGCACCGCCCTCAGTCACCGGAGCGGCCGCTATCAGCCACGGCGTCGCCCACCAGCTCGCTGCAGGATGACGACATGGACGATTTCCGCAGGGTGAGATTCCTGCTCATCTTTCTTTGAAAATTGATCGGAGGATGAATGGAAAGGAATCATATTCAAGCATAAATATTTTCCTTTTTTTATAAGCAGTCGTGGAACTTGTGAATGGGGCTTTTACTGCAATATCATAAAAACTTAAGATAATCAACTGATTTGGATTAAGTGTGGTTGTTTTTGTCCTAATGATGCTTTATTTATGTTGCCTATTCGGTTCAGTTTTGTAAATTGTGGTTTATTCCCCTTAATTCCCGTGGAAAGTTCCCAACTTTGAACATTTTTCAAGCCCACTTCTCATGTGATGCGACACACTGCTTCTCTCCCCGCCCATCAGAGCATCCTGGTGGATTCTCCAGTCTCTCAGACGTACTGCCCCGGCGTCATCTCCCTGGACCCCGCTATGGCTGAGGCGCCGTCATCCGGCCCCACCTCCGGCGCCTCGGCGCTTACCGGCCGGAAGGGAGGGGGTGGCAGGAGCGGTAAGACGGGGAAGAAGAAGGAAGACCCCAACGAGCCGCAGAAGCCTGTCCCGGCGTACGCTCTCTTCTTCAGGGATACTCAGGCGGCCATCAAAGGACAAAATCCTAAAGCCACCATAGGAGAAGTTTCAAAGATCGTGGCGTCCATGTGGGACAGCCTCGGAAAGGAGCAGAAGCAGGTCATGTGCTCAATATGTCTGCAGTGCTACCTTGACTTTCGAGTGACTTTGCAGGTGACAAATGGTTCTCTCCTTTCTTACAGGTTTACAAGAGGAAAAATGAATTAGCCAAGAAGGATTACTTGAGAGCACTTGCAGAGTACAGGGCCACCCTCAATTGTCAGGTGTGACGATGAAGTTATTTTACTCGTGAGAGCGCTGACACGTTTTACTCTCCAACCGCTTTTTCTTCAGGTCCCCATTGAAGTGTTGGATTCAGCGCCGTCGCCACCTCCAGCGGCGCCTCCGGCCCCGCCCCCATCTCGCCCCACCAGGGCCCAGCAGTACAACCCTGAGGAGAACACTATCACCAACATCTGCACTTCCAACATCATCTTGGACCTGCCCCAGGTCACCACACGGTCACGCACAGGCGCCATCAGACCGCAACCTCCACCCGATTCCAACCCACCCACCGTCGCCAAGATCATCATCAAGCAAACGCAGCTCCCCTCGGGCGGCGTGTCGGTTACGGCCATGCCCGCCTCGTCGGCGCGACAGCCGCCGCCGCTTCAGCAAATGCAGAGCACGCCGCCGCCACCCAGGTTGCAGCAGATGGTGCACGCCCAAGCGCCGCCACCCCTGCAGGCCAAGCCTCGGGGAGGCGGCGCCGTGGCTTCTGCGGCTCCGCCGCCGCTGCAGATCAAAATAGTTCCGTCGGTACGGCAGGCGGATTCGCTGATTGTGACATCGGCTTGTGAAACGTCGGATTTGGCCAAGGTGCCCGGACAGTCGGCCGCTGCAGTGACAAGAGGAGAGGAAATGATGGAGGCAGAGGAAGGGGTACGTTTGATTTTGTCGTTTGACCGCCAGAGGGCGCAGGTGACAATGTTAACCAACCCTGGGCAAAGCACACCCGTCCACAGTCTCTATCAGCCCTTGCAAAGTTTTAGGAAGTCAAAATAAAATGTAGTGATGGCGCAAGGACATTGGCATGCTGTAGCACATACACAATGAATGAGCTGGTCCAAATGCCAAGTGCAGTGTGAAAAAGGCTTTCAAGGTTGCGGCTCAAAACAGGGCTATAGTCAAGTCCACATTTTATCAAGTCCAAGTCCAGATGAGATCAAGAGTAAACCTTAACACAGAAAAACATAATTTTCACGACCACATCATTAGAGAAATTTCATTCTGCTCAACACGCTTCTTTGAACCCTCTTTAATACCCTGTGTGCAGATAAACAACAAAAACAATTACCTCCACTTGTTGAAAAGTTGTGACGTGGTGCTGTATGAAGAATCGGCAGGTTTTTTTCATGTTTTTTTTTCAAGACATTGTGGCTAATGCCAATTCTTGATGGTTGGTAAAACCACATTTTCTAATCCCGCTGTTGGTTAACATGACTGAAAGAAAAACACTGCGTGATTTAGTGATCACCATCAGGTTAACCAGTCAGATGGCTGTTTTGATCATCTGAAAAACGTTGTTTCAAGTTTCTTTTGAAGGTGGACATTAATTTTCAGGAATACATATGGGTGCACTCGATCAAGTCGATAAAAAATATTTTGTAAGTCCAATGGCCAAATCCGAGACAAGTCACAGAGTCAAATCAAGTGAGAAACAAAAAAAATGTGGAAAGTCCTGACTTTAGAACTAAAGGCCTTGCTTAAAATGTCCACACAAAATGTGATCTTCATTTGATTTTTTTTTTTTATATATAATTTGAAAACAACCGCAAGATGTTGCAGTTCCTTTTTGGAAAATGAATTGGCTAGCCCTGATGTTACCAATGTCACTTGTGTGTTAGATGGAAGTGGAGGTGAAAGTGGCCCCCGGGCCTGGCATCACGCCTGCTGCCAGTCCAAACATTTGCGTGCGCAACGGGTGCACCAATCCAGCGGTAGACAGCAAAGACTGGGACAAAGAATACTGCAGCAA